ATAAAGTATCTTAATCATGATGCCATGATTAAATTGCTAGAAGTGTACAATGAAATTTGGAAAAGCCACACTTTTCCAAACTCACGGCACTTCGCCCACATCATTCCCATATTGAAAGGAGGGGGTAATCCCAGATTTGCCAAATCCTATCGCCCGATTGCGTTGAGAAGCTCTCTTCTACACTAGGGTAGCCCTTTTGGCTTTGACCCCTGGGTAGGGAGACCCAGTAGTCTGAGGCGTCATTTGGGCGCACTTTTTCTTTGGTTCTGAATTTTTCCTATTAATGTGACTTTCCTGAGCCTACAGGAGTTCCTCGTGAACTCCCGTATCCGCTTGGGGGTTGGGCATTGAATTACCGTCCTTCGCCTAGGCAAGTTCGGCGGTAAAGAAGTGTCCCACACATAACTCGATCCCTCTGTGGTACTGGAGAACGCAGCCAGGCTTCCACTAGGGGGGGGGGGGTAGAGGACGGAAAACTGCCTTACTCTCTTAGCTATTGCTGTTAGGTTGATACCAAAAGTTAAGAGTTTTTGATCCCTTCAGGACTACAATTTTGAGACAAGGGGTCGGACCTGGTCCGATACCCGGAATGAATGACTCATGAGGGGCGACTCATGACCACTCTCAGACCAATCTGACTACTAACAATGGGATCCCTACTAATGACAAAACGAGAAGACCATTCATCAGGCATATGTTTCGTCTCCGTGATCCTTCTGAACACTTCCGTTAGCCACTCTACGCCATTCTCCCCATAGCCATCCACGCTTCTACCGGTATGTCATCCGGTCCTACCGGATGACATACCGGTATGTCATCCGGTCCTACCGGATGACATACCGGGTATGACCCGCCTATTAAAGTGTAAAATAGCATTAAGGGAACAAAAGGAGATATCAATTGCTGTGTCGGTTTGGGTGTGGAATGAATGAGTTTAGAATTAACTCCTTGTCCTCTAAAAAGGATGAAAGTATGTCTCTTCCATTGGTAGTGCAGTCACCCCACAGAGGGTGGTGACCATTCGTGCCACCTAGTAGAAGGAAAGGTGGGGCAAGATTATTTACGATCTGGTCAAGATCCCCCTTCTCAACTGGGTCATTGGGAAGTAGGTAGACATTGCATAATGTATATTGTCAATTGAGAAACACTTGCACAGTAACTACTCTTAGTGGTGTTAGACCTAAGATAAGAGAAGCTCGCATCACTACAAACTAAGATGGCAGTGCCACTATGACGACTCAGAGTAAACTGCATGATAACCAGGTGGGGTGACATCTCCAACCTTTGTCTCTTGGAGGCATATACATGCAGAGAGAAACGAGCAGCAAGACTGCACAATTCCTCCTAGGAGGCACGCAATCCACAATTCCACTGTAGGATTGAGAAGATTACTTCTTTGTATGGAGCTTTTGAAGTCCCATAGAAAGGGTCTCCTTAGCACCTACAACTCCTATTATGTCTGAAAGGCTTGTCACTGGGATCTTTACTTAAGTCTTTGTGGCAGATATTCCAGGCTTACTACTGACAGGAATTATGACTCAAGAAGAGTTATCACTTCTCCCTCCTGAAGTGCTCTTCGGCTCCTCCGTTGGATCTTGACGTTGAGAGGGGTAGGGTGTAGGTTTCATCCGACTTCTATTTGTGATCTTGGTTTCAGTGGCCAGAATTTCTAGGGAACTGGTAATATCAGTTGTCATTACTTCAGCCTCTACTGATTCGGTAGAGTGCTGAGTAGGTTGGGCTCTGGCAGGAGGACTTTTCTCAGTCCTCACTGCGAGAACAATTCTGCTGAGTAGAAGCAGTAGTCTCTCTTACAGCTACTTGTTGGGAAAGTGGACCGGGAATCGACAGCTGGGATCGCTGTTGGTTGGCGAAGAAATTTACTAACAATAGAAGCAAATGTTGCTACTGGGTGAAGGAGTTGTCTCAGGGTAAGTTTCTTTACCTCAGGAAAAGACACCCTTTCTTGAGTGCGGACTAAAAGGATCTCTCTCAAATTTATATTTATCACTCTTAGTGATAAGAATGATATAGGGTTCCAGAGTGACAATAAGCGTCGGTCGGGAGGAGGCCGAGGTCTAGCGGACATCAGGGAGAGAAGCAGACCGAGGTAATTCTAAATTATTTTTTTCTGCCATAAATATAAGTAACAGTATTCACTCCTACCACACACCCTCCCTCCACAGAGTCCTACAGGGGGAGGCTGATGTTGGGTACCACACACACAATAGCCCCAGGAGTAGTGAGGGAAGTAAACGTAGGTACAACTTGGTGTGGTATGCAACCCCGGGAGCAAAGCGGTGCCACCAGACAATACCCATTCGTCGCTAGCAGTACGTTTTTCAAATAACATGACTGACCAGCCGATTGACCTGATAGGGTCGAGATCATGCCTACCATCTAGTCGGAATAGGGGACCAAAGGGATGTTTCTGGCGGCAGGGTGCAGCGTGCAGCATCTCTCAGATCCCAGGTCTCCCTTCTCCCAGCGACACGGGTCG